ATCATCAAATGATCTTCAAGATGATTATGATGATGATGATGAACAAGATGAAGCATTAGCTTTATATGCAGCACAAGTTGGACATTTACAAGAATTTGAAGATGCTTTATTTGATTGTTGTCAAGATATTTTAACAAATAAAGAATCAATACTTACAAAACAATTACGTGCTATTGTTAAGCAAGCACAAGATACAGTTGATTATGATCAAGAAAAATTTGTTAATGATATGCGCAAAAATTTACTTGAACGACAACAAATTTTAAATGAATTACAAACACGTTTACAGGCATTTGCTGATTGTCTTCAACAAGAAGAACAAGTTGCTGCAGCACAACGAATGAAAAAAACATCAAACAAATATTAATCGATAAACTTTGTATTTTTTTTCTTGTCTTTTCGTCGCATATAATTATCTTATAATATGATTAATACAAAATATATAGATTTCTAGATGAAAAGGTGAATAATTAATTAATAATCATTACTTCTACATTTTATAACAAAATCATTTATTTTTATTAACCAACAGGACTATCATGAATCGGAGTTTTCTCAGTAGATTCCTTGAGCTTTAGTCAATTCTTGAAAATTTTCTTGGCGAAGAACGAGAACTCGAATAAGAAATATAATAATACTAATTGACAACTATGCATTATATCACTGTATATATATATATATATATATATATATAAGGTGGAGGCAATGCAAAATGCGAGCAGTTTTTATAGGATTGAGAACACAGTAATAAAGATATAGTCAGAAGTATATATGAATCATTGCGTTGACAAACAGCTATGGTTTGACGTTCTCATTGTGAAAGTATAGATATAACGCTGTAGATATACGAGTATAGGTATAGAACTATAGACTTTACAGATATAGATATAAGAATATTGTTGCAAGGATGCAGGTTCACTGTAAAAAGTTCTGTATTGTTTGAAATCTAAAATTGAGAATTGTCTGATATTTTTTGTGTTGGAAGAGTTTTTTGAAACTATCTCAGAAACCTCTTAGCAGCTTTTTCAAATTGTAAATAGGTTTCTGAAGTTGCAAAACGTATGTGCAACATTGAAGAACTCTGAAAATTTCTTCAAAACTTCTCCGCCATGAAAGTATACAGAAATTCTTTTTTGGATGTCTACTAATACAGATACCTTTTTAGAGTATATAAAGCTTCACTGTAAAAAAAAGATGGTAAAATCCTGAATTCTTAAAAAGGATCTATTAGTCTCATAAGTCCTCAATCATACTTAAACTCACTTAAGGAACATGTCATTTTCAAAATACTTTTTAAGTTTATGTCTATTTCATAAACTCTTCAACAGTGTACGATACGTTCCATTTTTATCAATTCTTGCTCGACTACAAAGATAATAAACCCTTGAAGTATTCATTTTCCGTTATCATAAACACTTGAAGATTTTACTATCTTTAGTGCAATGCAAGATTTATGAAAAGGAAACTTATAATTAGACTTATAGGGGTATATGAAATTGGTATAAATTCTGAAAAGGTTTACAAAGAAAATTAGCTTTTCTGTAGGATTGATTGTTTGACGCCTTTTTTATAGTGTACTTCGTCTATTCGAAGACCAGTGTCTTAGTTTTCATTCATTTTATAGTTCAAAATGTACTCTTGCTTCTATTCGAGGATATTTGAAATAGATTCAATCGAACAGTAAGGTTTCTATGCCAGTTTTCTGCAAGATCCTCTTCAATTAGTTGAATTACCTTTTTCAGAATCGAATCATATTAACTGGTCATTTCAGATTATGAAACATAGCTTTGTCTTGATTGTGTGTTGAACATAAATTGACAGAAGCACACTGACACTATGCAAGCTCAAGGTGAAAAGTGTACCGATTATGCCTTTATGATCTCTGTTTTTCTTCTCAAGCATGCCCGAAAATCTATTCTAATCTAAGGAAAATGAAAAACACTATTTGCATTAAAAAGGTCATTCTAGGTCTGAAAAATGTAAGCAGGATTCATTGTTGAGAATACGAGGATGTTTACTATGGACAGATCCATTTTCAATGAATATTGTTAGACTTGAATTAAGAGAATTCACTATACAAAGATGTTCAGCATCGCGGAGTATTTGCAATACGAGATTTTACACTATTCAATTTTTATGCCTTCATTTTTCACACACTAGTATGTAATCATTCGTGAAGAATAATACGCTAAATCAGTATTTTTAAGTAGTCTGCTTCGTTGTTTCTGTTTGCTGTGAATCGATTAAGTCTCTATTACATATTCTTAATATTAAAGCTTTTGCACTCAGAGAGTATCGAATATGAATCTGTATCGAGTAAGTAATGCAGGAGAAGTAATGGTATTCAATATGTAAATCGTGTTCCTACCTTTTTGCAGCTACTTGCACAGAACAATGAAAAAACTACCGCACATGTGCACTTTTTCCAAAATGTGACAAAGAAACACAGCATCATTACTTTAGTTTACTGCAATACTCTTTACAGAGAAAATGAAATATGTAGAAAAGGAAAAAAAATGCGTCTAATATATATGTTGATGTATGGCATTCGAAAGCATAATTTGATTGATTCACGACACATTATAATACAGGTTTGAAGTGCTTCGTTTCACTTCGTTGCAGCTAGCAATCGTCCAAAGAACAAATATTCTATTGAATCATGAGTAGCTGATCAAACGCGAGTATAGAAAGATCAGAAAAAAAGCCAGTGATGCCAGTATGAATGAACTGAAAACAGCAGCTTTGATGAATTTCTTTTCTGTTAACGTTTCGGTTATATTTATGAACAAGGAGAGAGAAAAAGAAAATGAAAATCAGAAACTAAATACAGTAAAATCTACGAGAGAACAGAACAACTTAAGAGAGAAAAAAAGAGATGCACAACAGAAAAAATATGAACACCATAGCTGAAAAACGAATTTTCTTTTGTTTTGAAACTTCTGTTGAGATGTTTGTATGGTTGTATCATAGGGACGCGCGTGGCATTCATTGTTCTCCCATGCTACCTCTTCTTCTATGTCTTATCATTCCTCTTTTCTAATACGACATCCGATGTTGATGACTTATTCATTTAGATCAACACTAAGCGTCATGCTAAACTTTTAAGAAGAACCAATATTGGTACCGAATATGTTGTTCGATTGATTCTACCCTCGCACTCTTCAATTAATAACAACCCTTAGATAAGGAAGTGATAGACGATGTTGTTTCAACACAGAACTCGAACATTGTTTCAGCCCATCTGATTGATCGCTGTTTTTCTCGTATTCAACAAAGAAAGAAAAAGAGAGGATGATGTTTATGTTATCAGCGTTTTCCGCGCCATGACATACTTTGTCTGTAGATTCGTCTTGTTGTTGCTTGTTGGATTGATCATTGTTATTGTCTTGTTCCGAACTCATGATAAACGTTGTAGTGCTGTTTTTTGTTGATGTTTTGGTTTCACCTTCATTGTTGTTCTTCTAGTCTTTAAACAAAATTAGTATGGGTGTAAGTGAAGGGAAAATTCACATTTATCAATAGCGAAATTCGAATTCACCCATAAACACATCTGCAGCACTTATGCGAATAAGCATTGAATCTCATTTATCGTCGATAACCAATATAATTTGTCGAAGATTTCTTTCAGAAATTCGATAGTTTTGCCATTAAAGTTATGCTCACTAGTGGTATTAAGATAAAATATAAACATCGGAAAAGCAGAATCGTTCCAACCATAAAATATTCAGCTGAAAGCGTGAATATGCTAGGTTGGATTATCTTCGAGCCAAACTTTTCTCGCTTGCCTCGATAATGCCATACTATTGAGACAAATGTATGTAGCTAAAAAACTATTAATATTCTGATATATTATTCAAGCTTTAAAAAAATCAAATCAATCCAATACAGTTGGCAGATTACAAACGTGAATCATCTAGAGAACAAATAAAACAAATAGTCATAATGAAAACCTCATATTTATAGGATTAATCCATCGTTTCTGTTATGCACATATGAATATACCAATGGTTGTTACAAGAGGAATTAAAACATACAGAAGAAAGTAAATACTGCAGCCTCAAGCAATAAAACAATTTTTGTGAATAAAAAACCTTTCAGATCACTCTTAGAAAATGACATTGCTAGATAACGAAACAGTTTTTTTCTCTTCTCTGATGTGTATGATGTGAATAGTGAATAATCAGATTCTGCTTATATTCATACTAAAAGCACAAGAGTCTTGTTTGCTAGCATAGTAATGCGATCAGTAGCGAAGTCGTCATGTTCAACAGTAGATCTCAATCTTCGACAAATTGTATCATTGTCTTTGGATGGTCGGAGACTTGCAGCATTACTAATAAGTTATGAATCAACACTCGATGAACTGCGAGACTACCTTAGACAACGTTCGATTATGATCGACCCAGACGATCAATTCCTTTACAAAGGCCTTGCCATTTCATTAGTGCACAAACTAAAATTTAATATTTATGAAGTAGTTGAAGACGATATTGTTACCATGCAAAGTCGTTTAAAAACACGCATACTACAGTCACCGAATCGAGAAGTGTTCCTATTTTTGTGACTCGAGAGCTTTGACCACTGCTTCCAATATTACATCGCACAATAAAAATACGATGGATTCAATCAATCATCAACTAGATCGAAACAAATAGAGAGTTGTGTATGATCACACGAGTCTTCTTCGAGGACGGTGTTGTCTAAGTAATGGCCCTCAAATAGGAGATTATCCAATGATTAGACTCAAATCGAACTGGTGTCCAAATAGTTTTCCGTTTGATGATGCTAGACTACACGTTGCAAAGTCTCATCAACAAATGAATAACGAATATTTGAATGGTAAATTGTACAATATCAATGCGATCGTTAATCTTCCTTTTGTCAATATCATATTCAGCAGTGATCATAATAGAAATCAATCAATGATAAATAATATTGAAAAAATGTCAACATTTGTCTACTATAAATTACCTTGAGTTGTTCACATTTTCGATGAAACAATGATCGAAGCTGACCCGATATTTATCGACAAAATTGATCAGGTGCTTGATGGTTCTCAAAGTAAGAACAAATATGTACACGACTATGCTGCCAAAGTCGTGCTTGGAAGTTATCAAGTTCGTGTACAGCACAAACAAATGGGTGAAATATACGATACAGACGAATTAGATCAACAAATAAGAACCAATATCAAAGCGAACTCCAATGAAGTGGGAGCCGGTTTTGGTCTGGAACGAAATAAAAAAAAGGCACGAACAAGACGGAAAATCAATAATAACACGCTTATTGATCGTTCAACAACAGATGGTGATGCTCTCACAAATGATCTGAATAAATGGCTTGAAGCATTAAAAAATACAAATACATGACGTATCATCGAATATCAACGAGTAGAACCTGTCTATAAATTCGTTGACTTAGAATGACAGCAGAAAATTGAGATTATTCTTGCTATGCATGAACAACAAGAACAACAACAAGAGTCTTGATTCCAAAACGTACCAGAAGAGCTGGTATTTTCTTCCAACGAAGGTTTCTACAAATATGATGTACAGTGTATGAGTAAGAGAACTAGCCGTCATTCTATCTCCTCACAAGTAACTGATGTATTCTTATTCTTCTATGCTCCAACTTTTGATCAATGGTTATGGAAGCACAAGAAATGTGAACGTATTCCGTGGACGTTTCTTAAATATACAGTCACTGATGAACTGAAAATAAAATCTGTCCATGCCATTATGCATGTTCTTCAATAAACAAATCCAATACCAACCAATGATATTATTGAAATAAGTTATGAATTCGGGAGCAGGTACGTGCCTGATGGAACCCTGACCAAATTTTGCAAGACTATCAATCATGTATTCAAGACACATCGATTCCCACAAAGGCAATCGGACATGCTTCTGTACAGTCCATGTTCTTCAGACTTTTTTAAATAGATTAGTCTTCCTGTGAAACAGTATAACAACAGGTTTTCCACTTGAAAAAATATGCGAACAATCGTTCTCTGTGTGCTATTAGGTTAGATCTTTCAAGAGTGTCCATGAAGGAACCCCAAGTACTGGCAGAAAATTGCCCCACTTTACTATTCCAGGTTCATGCGACAGCTTTAGCTTCGATCATGTTGATTAAAGACGCACAGTTATCTTTGACTATCTGTATATTTGTCATATTTTTTTAATAAATTGGTTTCCATAAACTGAGTCGCATTTGATTTTGGCTCACTTCAAAATAGATGGAAAAAAGTAGTCTACTAGTGATTAGTTGCGGCAGCTACATCGTGTTTCACATTTTAATCTTGCAACGATTGCGTTGACAGTCTTTAGATTACATTTCAAATTATTAAAATTCAAATTTTCAGACATAAATAAGAAAATTTTGCTTTTTTAAATTAAATAATTTAATGTAAAAATTGTTATTTTTGAACATATAATTGAATAGATGAATAAAATCACCATAAAAACAAAAACATGGATTTCATAATCTTTCAATAATATTATCGTACCTAATTTTTGCTATATTACTTCAGCAAGCAACAACGAATAAGTTTTGATTTTCTCGACTCAAATTGAAACTACTCAACTTCGAAGTGATATGTTTCGGTTATGACTTACTAATAGAACTCGAAGCCTATAAAGGTTTTGAAATAACAATGGATTCTACTGTAGTTAAGGAGTCAAGTTTAACATATCAAATACGTTTTCTATTCTACTGTCAATCTATCTGCTTTTTTCCATACGCTAATCGATAATATGGAAATTAGAGATTATGATTTTCGAGTGTTATTCTATGTTGAAACTATTTCCTCAGTCGTCTTGATAGTATCGAAACAAACTACAATATAGTTTTGTATAAGTCAACAAAGCATCGGAACGATAATATCAGACATGTTTTGTGACGTATTATTTTTGCTTACAAACATTGATTTTACTCAGATCCACTATTCGTTTTTATTGTTTCAGAGTGTAAGTAAGTGAATGAAAAAAAAAACCTTTCCCCTTATGCACTAGAAACTATCACATGTGATATATGTTGCATATTAATCGAGACAGAAGGAAGAAAAAGGTTTGCTGATCTATGTACTACTATCAATTGTAATCATAGCATACAAAAGATGATGCCAGTGTTTTACTAACAGAACCACTTTATTTCCATTGAGTTATAAATCAATATTTTATACTCGAATTAACCATTCTATCGATTTTACAATTATTACAGAATTTGCTTATAGATATTCATTCTAAATAGTTTTTTCTGAATTTGATATTGCTTTTTTGTGAAGATTTCGCGAAAAATTGATACTGGTTTTATGATCTAAATATGATAGGGATAGTTTGGGAAAAAAACGATCGTATTGCATGGTTTTTTTGCTTTTTCAATCAGAAAAATAAATCGATTATTAAAAAAAAAAAGATACCATCAGTATTCGTTATATGATTAATAAATAAATCTTTTAATTTATGTTTGTATGTTCTAGAAGACGAAAACTCATTGAGTTTTATCTAATGTATGATAATCTAAGATTTGCTTAGAATCGAAACAATAATGTCGTCTGAAAAATATGCATTCAGCTTTTGTTTTCAATTATTGTTCTCTATTATCTTGATCTAAGGCCTGAGTTGTTCGTGGTTGATATTCGTCGAAAACGAAAATCTAGATCGATAACAGAAGATAATTATATTTCAGAATTATTAGTCATATTTCCTAAAAGTAATCATTTACTGCTTTGTTTCTTTTTTGTTTGAGCACGAAAAACATTACCATGAAGACGTCATATAATAAGAAAAATGTTCCAGGTTTCAAATTGTTTTATGAATGATAGTCATCGTCAGCATACCGTCTCAAACATACTGCAAACTAAAAAATATATAGTACGTTAATTAGCACTTTATCTTTCACACATTCTTTTCATTGAATTTACATCATGAATAAACAATAAGTAGGTAGTACTTCAAACTGAAATGCTACCTACGGTCGATCAATATTGATTTAATTAAAAATGAACAAAAAACTTGATATCTTAAATAGTTTCTGTTTAGTGCGGATGTTAGTGTAGATGAATGATGATACGATTCACGCTCATATACTCACGTCTATCCTAGATCCATATCCCCTCATCTACCTTTGGAATATCCATATTTTCTACTCTATTCTGTCTCATGGGTACACAACGTGTTGTCAAGCGTTCATCCTATTCATGTAGGTTTTATATGTTCCATCAGTTTGTTCATGCATACAGGCAGCTTCGTAGCATCGTTGTCGAACTCTGCTTTGGTTTCTAGATCTTTTTTTAATTAATTTTTCCTTTAATTATTTGTCTTTCAAAAATTTCCTGTATAAGACTTCGTCAGTTCAAAAAAAAAATTAATTAATCGATTACATCTGCGTTTTTACTATCTGATTAACTTTTCATCTGGTTGATGTCCCTGAAACCAATTCATGTATAGACGGAAGATGAAACAGTTGAACGATTGAATCAAAAACTAATGAGAAAAGAATTGGGATTTAAACAGAAAGTAAGAAAGTGTTGAGATACAAACATTTTGCGATGCCGTATGTGTTGCTTTCTGATTCAAAAACTTTCAACGAATTTTTCAGATGCGAACAGACTCAAACTTTAAAACGGTTATAGAAGCTGATTGCAAGAACATGAACCTATAATATAAATCTCATCATGAAACATCGTGTTTGTCTCACTAAATGTACTTTATAAATCAGAAAGAGCATTTGTTTTTCTTGTTTGATATCATTGGAAGAAACCCATAACACTAAGTTTCATAAAGAATGATTTTATTTATGCTTCTGTTTCTCAATTTTATTGAATACTTTTTGATAGTGAGTCATATATTGGATTTCAAAACAAGTCGCTAAACAAAATATCTTATAGTACGAAAGTATTGTCCATTGCTTCTTTCCCTTTTTATAAAAGGTATTGTGTCATAAATTATAACGCTTCATATTTAATGAGAAAGTGTCATGTTTTTTGCCGTTTTTCAATTTTACTGATAATGTCAACGAAACCACACAGTGGAATATTTACCCAATTCGGTCGATAGTTCATTTCATAAACAGCTTCGTGGACAACTCGCTCCAAGAGGTGGAAGAGAAGTATGTCATCTACTTCATAGGCATCCTTCCACATGGCAGCAGAATGTTTAAGAAAAGAATGAAGAAAAATATCACAAATATATTGAAAACACTGACTTTTGGTTGTAATAGCGGCATAATGGAACGAACGAAGCATCCCAGCCACATCTTTTAAAGGTGAATGTTTAAGATGTCGTTCAACAATTGTATTCGTTGGCTCACCTTCAAAATCAACTATTATAAAATCATCATAAAGTGAGCTAAACAACACTTGTCCTAGATGGAAATCACCGTGAACCCGAATACGACACGATTGAAAGGAACGTGATTGGAAGGCAGCAAGAAAATTCGACAGAATTACTTTGGAATTTAAGACATCCTTCGCCAAAGACAACGAACAAGTTTCGAGCTGTGAATAGCAGTGCTCGAGTTTATCAGCGAGATGTTGCGTCATAAGTTGACAATATTCTTGAGTGAAAATTTCAGGAACAAAGTTAATATTCGAGCACTCGAGTTTGTAAAGATTCAAGTGCATTTCAGCCGTTCGACGTCCGAGTAGCGCAACTTTTTCGATTAGAACATGCTGTGACGAAGGTTCATTGATGAGACTAGTTACCATCGACCAACAATCATATGCTTTTGGAATAAATTTTTGCACAAGTACTAAAACCATAGTTGAACCTTGTTGATCCGACCAGTCGATACTACCAAGACAAGTTGGTATATGATTTGAAAAATCCTCCGATTTTCCAATGAAAGTGAGCATTTCAACTTCCAAGTTTTGACCTGTCGTTAGTTTTCGATAAAGTTTAAACAGATACTTATCATTAAATACCATTAATGAATTTGTTGAATCAGTGGATAGAATGTCCGACGATTGATAGAAATCATCAAAGTCTTCGAAACGAGTGATTGAAAGAGATTTGTCATTTGTTCCAATAATAAAATGATTAAATAGTGCTCGGCGAAATGACTCGTCATAAACAGCATCGATGAGTAGAGCATGGTCACCATTCGATCGAGTAATCTCGATAATACAAGCATTTTCAGACAAATCATCCGGCTTCGATGGTAAGAAGCCTAGTGGTAAAAAATATGATTCACTCTCATCTTCATAATATACATCGACAATTAATAGTTGACATGTGTGTACCGACCATTCGAGTATATGACGAACACTAGCACCATGTGGAGATCGTGTTTTACCAGCAAACCAACGACTCCTCTTAGCAAACGGAAGAAAATAACATCTGGCGAAATCATCCCAGAATTGTGTGTTAGAGCGTATATTCGACCACTCTGTCATAAAAAACAAATAGAATGAATGAAGTATTTTTTTTAATTATTAATATATATACGTTCTCTTGCTTTCACGCTTCGAAAGGTATCAAATAAAAGCAGTAATCAATGTGAAATAAGAAAATATAACACAGCAATATCATTCGTTGACACGTGACAATTTTTATTTTTTCTTTCTTTGCTATTTAAAAGTGACATGTGATAGAACATGAGTTGTATGCAGAGATGAATCAATGAATATTTTACTTGGAAATATCATGGCTAGTACGAATGTTTTACAAAAAGACAGATTAAGACAAAAAAAATTGCAATGTGATATGCATGAGAGAAACAGTTTGGGGATCGAATTCATCTCTGAACGATGAATAATTGATCGTCAAAGCCAAACTGCCACTTGCTGTATTACTGGTCAACACGATGCGATTAGTATTAATTAGGTTTTTGGTGAGTTGTTGGACGAGCTCACAAGTGACCGAGGAATAATATTCTAGTGTATTGGGAAAAGAATGTTTTGGCACTCAGCCCTCTCTAACATATAGCACAAAAACGAGTCTTGCATCGAATTACATTCCTTGTCATCTCTTTTGTTCGACATAATCATCGAAAAGATTGTCTAAACAAGTCGTCTTTTTTCTAGTAATCGAGCAATTCCTGCAGACTCTTCTAGTACTATTATATCGCTCTGATCATTCATCGATGAATACAAATTTGCTTCTGTCAAAAGTCTTGCAGACTTTCTGCATTTAGCCATATCTTCATTTCTTCTAGCAAATTTGATCAAAATCAACAACGAGCTTTGTTTGTCAATTAATTTTTTCGTGAACTATTTCAATGGTTGTTTCTCATCTGAACTGGTTTCAATCGTAGTCTGTTGCTCGAGTCGAACAAATCAGCTAGTCAGAATGACAATTTTGTATTGGTCTTTTTCCATTGATAAACAAAAAATCGAATTTTTCTCCGGAACGGAAAAAAATCCTTGTCTGACAAACAGTGATCTAACCCTAGATTGAAATGATAAGTGCTCTTGTTGAATTATCCAAAACATAAGTCGCTTGATTATAGAACTCTCAATATCCCACAAGAAATCGATCGCCATGAAAATGCTTTTTTTGCGGTTAATTTCGTCAGCATCAATCAGATCTTGCTATTCATACATTCAAACACTTTCACACTTAAAATGATACCGATACCCTCGATCGGTTCAGTTTTCGACGAGAACTCCTCAATATTCACTAGAGTATATAATCATTCATATTTTGTTTCTTTACTGATCTCTTTTTCTTTGTTTGTGACTACAAATGACGTTTATTGAATAATATTGAAGATTACAAGAGAAAATTGCACATTTAAGCTTCAATGAATAAATGTCTTTTAATTGAAAAAATGTCTTATTGAACACCGTTCTTAATTAGTTTCGCTGTTGGTACGTTTTTCTAACCATTGATCATAATCATCACATGAACTTTGTCCATCTTCTTTGATCGATTGCACGACACAAACCAACTGTTCATGATCCTTGACAAAGTAATCGGACAGCTGACGTCGATTATCCCAATTTTCGGATTGGTGTGGACGTCCTAAATGTGAATTTGGTTCCACATGCAGTTTCTGTTTCAAATCACCAATTGTCATAGATAATGGAATATTTGCCAGAGTGACTTCATTTTGGCCTTCATTTAACGATATTTCAACTGTGACACTAATTCTGCCAGCGTCCGAAAAAGATCTACGTTCCATACCTTGGTATGTATCCTGTTAATATACGGAAAAGATAATTAGAACAGTTCAACTCGAATGGTTTCATACTCAAAATGTAAATATTTTATAAATTTCATTAACTTAAATTTTTTTTTGTTGAAATTCGATTTGTTCCTGTATGTATACATATATAAAGCCACGTCTGAATGTACAAAAACTTATATATTTAGACTTATCGTTACGAACCTCTATGAAAAAATTTTCAATCAGATTTCATTATTCTACTAAAGCATCTGTGCAACAGATAGAGATGAGGATGAAAATGTGTGTACAGTTAAAGGAAAGATCGCACTAACACCCATTCTCTCAACAATAGTTCCTTACGCTCACATCCTCGTCATCGTATCCACTTCTATATTTGAAAATAGATCATAAATATACAAGCGTATTTTGTTTTTGTTGTGTGAAGTGGTATATTTTTTTAATCCTTTCGAGTATCGTTGATATTTAACATTTACTAATTGACATCAATAGATTGTTATATAAAATAGATCAAGTTACACCCTACATGTCACTATACTTTCGATAGAACACAATATTCTTGTAAGGTCCTTGTTTTGAAGCGAATCAAGAGAATGAACTATGGTCGACCATGTTCATGCACAAAAATAAGAAGAGCTCGTGGGTGTTGTGAATGAAATGAGCCCATAGTCGTACAAAAATGTAATGTTATATATCAAACTAACAGCTAATACATTTTCTAATGTTCATCTATTTTTATCGCAAAACTAGAAAAACTATAACTGTATTTACTACACACGGTGTTATAAAAATACAAATACATGAAAGAATTAATTCATGAATGTAATAATTCATGATCGTTTTTCATTAGTCAGTTTCACGATAGACAATCACAAGCATTTTAATAGTCATATTATTCTGTAGACATCGTTGAACATTTTAAAATAAGGCAATTTTCACCATCAAAGTGTTGATCTTTGATGTGGCGCGTCATTCATGAAGGAGAAACATAAACTTAATATTGGTTCATTCTTGAAAGCTTTTTCAGATGTATTAATGATTAATTTCTAAATTTTTTCCATACTCAGTCTTTGATGAGAAAGTTATTCCTATACAATTCGATCGATAGAAAAGTTATTAAGATCATCTCCAACCAGATATGTATAGATTGATTCAAAATGTTGAGAGCAAATAAAGAATGATCTAGCCATTTAAAATTACAACAAAAATTAGGTATTGTTCTCATCTACTCACCCCTGCTGCTACGTTTTTAGATAGACGCTTCGCCAGTATGTAAAAAATAGAAAATGACTGCTTTGTATTCAATGAAAAAGGAAATAACAATCAGCAATTTCCTCTCTCTGTGCTTGGAAAAAAATGTCCAATCTCTCGGAGTATTACACTTGTTAGTTTATGTCGACGTGAAATTTACTGGCTCTTTCAACATTTTAATGAAAGAATGCATAAGAACTTATGCGGCACGCAATGGTTTCCTGCTCGTTACCTTTAATTGAGAAAATGCAGAAAGCTATCGTTCACAGTGCGCCTGTGTTATTTTGTGTGTCATTTATCGTGAGAATTAATACATGAAGTAGTAGAAAAGTTTTTTTTTCTACAGCCTTTGATATAACTATTCAAAAGCTTGTTCTCTGTGTTGTTTCCTAGAGTGCCACCCACAATGCACACTGCACTTGTGCATTCGATTAGAATGTGCCATGAAAGTAGTATTATAGGTTATTTTCTCTGAGGTCATTGAGAATAGTCAGTTTAACCACATGTAAAACAGTTATGCTGTCGTTGAATCCTATTTTATATAGTGGACAATTGAATTTTATAGCAAAGAGAAGTAATATGGATATAGGCCTGTAGGCTATACTAGACGATGAAATGATTCCGCCTGATCTCCAGTAAAACATTCGTTGGTAACCCATATTTTCTGTAGTCTTGTATTTTCATAATGAAAATTGGTACTTTCAATACTGATCTCTTATTTCTCTGCTGATAAAATTTTAAAACTTGCTCTAGGCAGTTATTGACTGATTACCTTCTATTTATCAGGTATTCATAGAATACGCTTGGTTAAACTATATTTTATGAAAAAAATGGTCACACATTTCGTTTGAATGACTTGTTTTTTAATCAATCTTGACCGTTCATAGATGAACTTGTAACTTTTTACTTTTCGACAATCCTTGTATGTTTTCATTATAATTACGACCAACAGCAAGCTGAAGTTAATCATATGAAGCTTTTCACTATGATTATTGTGAAATAAAATCCAAATTGTAATCAATTAGAATGCTTCCAATAGATTAATATTGATTATAATTTTGCTTTTGTTTCACAATAATCAGATTATCAATTTCGATTATGCCTATAGAATTTTGAAATTTTAGTGGATTTCAATTGCTAAAATTTTTCACTAAGACTAGATGAAGGTAGGATGGATATTGGTAAGAACAAAAATAAAGATCTTTTCTTCAATCTCACCGTCAGGCGTTGTCGCCTGATTGTCAATCATACAGTTTCAAATTACGTATAGCCTGAATATTTATTTTTTATACTAATCTTATTTGTTGAAGGCTTGCACATGTTGCAGTTGGTTGACAAACATGTGTATCCGTTATCTATCAGATCAAATTACGAAAATCAAGAAGAAAATAAGGATGGATGTCCAAATCCAGTTCAAAAATAATTCAAGTTTTCGAGATTTCTGAAATAACGAAGCAAACAAGTAAAATTTTATTGAATTCTAACTATGAATGAATAAAACTATTTTTTTTTCTTTTTCTTCTGAGTCTACATAATATAATGTTGTCACTTATCATTATATTTATGAATCAGTAAAAATAGTTTTTTCTCTTTTCCATACATTCACAGTAAGGAGTCAATGCCAGTTTTTTTTTTCGTTTGTTTTCGAATTCATATACACTCTCAAGGTCTCCCTTGATGCTATAATTCGAAATAGACATCTCATAGACATTGTCTCTTTTTTTAATGATTAAGAGACACACGATACAAGAATCGATTGACTGGTCGCGATGTTACGACACTTTTTGATGAAAGAATAAATGCTCTTTTAAACGTTGTGCCTTGTTTTCATCAAGTAAGAAAAGTCAACTATGTCATTTCAGATAAATATAGTTCTTCTCTTCCCTTCTGATCCGAGTCACTAAAAATCTGTAACAAACAGCAGCCGTTATTTGAAATCGAAACATATCTCGATCAAGATAATTCCATTATTCGAGTAGATCGATTGATTTACGAAAAAAAATGTCAACTGCAAGCAA